TAATATTAGTTATCACTTGATCTAATTCACTGAATATCACATTGATTGTTGCTGAGCACCATAAATTACATAATCAGATTCTAAGAATCAACACGTGATTGTCATGCAAACCTTGATCTACTTCCCTATAAATATTAGTACACACTCTACCATTAAGACAAGATGGGTTGCTCTGATGGTAAGCAACCTCCACTTCTAACCAAGAGGTTGTGAGTTCGAGTCTCCCCAAGAGCAAGGTGAGAAGTTCTTGGAGGGAAGGATGCCGAGGGTCTATTGGAAACAACCTCTCTACTCCAGTGTAGGGGTAAGGTCTGCGTACACACTACCCTCCCCACACTCCACTAAGTGGGATTATACTGGGTTGTTGTTATTATTGTTGTTGTACTCTACCATTAGCAGTAATACAACCAGTTATAGAGAAAGAAAACATAATCTACGGCAACCAAATCTCCATATATACTAGTTAGAATAAAAATGATAATAAAATATTAAAAAATACAACAAAAGTATAAATAGCAAAAAAGACTTCTAGTACCATGTGATACCAATATGGTATATATGTATACCAATAGAGCATGTAATTTCTCTAGAATATTGCTACAATTATCTGCGACTATAAAAAATCTAGAATATTGCAAGCTAAATATTCACAAAACAACTTGCTCATTTTGTATACTAAGAGGGTATATAGTTGTATGCAGTTGTTCCATTAATTGCCTATAACTATAAAAACTATTACATAATACACATAATTTATGTCCATCGGCACACAAAAAATCTAGATTGCAACTCATGTTCATATAAATAATTTCATAATAGAATTCACTTAAGATGCAACTAAAACAACCAAAACAATGTTCAACTACCATATGATACCAATATGGCATATAACTATACCAACATGGTATACAGTTTTACTAGTTAATTCCCGATAATTATATGACTATACTACTATTACATAACATACATTCATAAAGAGAAAAATAAAAAAATAGTGTACCACATATTAATATAATAAGGTATTTCAAGATATTGTACTATATTACAATTATTAAGAGAAAATCAAATATTGTACCAATTAAATGCAGCTAATACAACCAAAAAATGATTCAACTAGCATATGATACCAATATAGTATATAGCTATACTAATAGGGTATATAGTTGAAATGAATTGTATATTAAAATGGTATATTTGTATACTATTTGAGTATACAATAGAAATTCGTCTTCTTCTCTGGTTCAACTATATTTAAACCCAAATTTCTAAAATCTACTACAAAATCCCCACCAAATTGACTAAAACTTTAGCTACAACCTCCAATCAACTTTTCAAACAAACTTATACAGGTTCGGATCAATACAATTAAAAACTCAAACAAACCAAGTTATGAGTTTCAAGCTTCAAGGTCCTTCAATGGTGGATTTAAATTTTTGTACAATAAATCTCCAAAAAACAGCATCAAAGGTACAATCTACACATCAAAGAACAATAACTAACAAATTTCAACATTAAAACACTATAAAAAATCAGATTTGACATTTTGAACTCATTCATATGGAGTTTCAAAAATTATTTCTTGAATTTACAAATTGTTTCAAAAATTGATCAAAGAATTACAGGGGGTTATCTTAAAGAATCCAAAACTATACTATGGCCATTTGTTGGTCGTTACAAGGGGAGACTAATTAATCATTACCCCAAAAGCAATTTGACAGTGCATGTTGTACCAATACATCTAGCTGGTATGACTCTTGATGGTGATAAGACTTGGGCAAAAGAAAAGTTGTAAGAATTTGTTCCCAGGCGACTCTACAACCAACCCCTCCCTCCGAAGAAGCCATCAGTCGTGAACTTCAAAAATTGGAGGAAGGTAAAATGAGGAAGAAGAAGAAGAGGAATAAAATAAAGACGGGTAAATAATTTGGGGCGCATGAATAGGAGTAGTAAATAGTTTGGATCTGAACATTAAAGGGTAAATAGTTTGAAATTAATGGGTATAAAGTGAGATTTTCTCTATAATATACATCATTACCAAACTAACCTCCTAAAGTGGTATGCACGTACAAAACTACTTGTACAAATATCCGTGCATAAAAGGCTAGAGTTTAAATTATGTATTAATGGTGTAAATAAAATTTAAAAAGTCAAGTCGTGCAATAGGTAATTGCACGTATTATATTTAATAGGTATTAATTGTTACTAATATAGTAAAAATCGATATTAATTTACTGATAGTGGAAATAGTCTCTAAATTGAACGATATATATAACTTAAATCCTATTAATAAGCAGATTAGTCAACCCCTATAAGTTCATCAATTATTATATCAAACTATAAACTTCGGAAAATGGTCATCACGTTAGCAACCAATCTAGGATGAATCTTCCAACTTTAACGAATACAGTTAGTAGTCTTCACGTCAGTGATACAACAACAAAAAAAAAAACAGACTAATGCCAATAACTATATATATGCAACAACAACAACAACAACCCAGTATAATCCCACTTAGTGGGGTCTGGGGAGGGTACTGTGTACGCAGACCTTACCCCTACCCTAGGGTAGAGAGAATAGACCCCCGGCATCCTTACCTCCAAGAACTTCCCACCTTGCTCTTGGGGAAACTCGAACTCACAACCTCTCGATTGGAAGTGGGGGTTGCTTACCATCAGAGCAACCCCTCTTGTCTCATAACTATATATATGAATCATTTCAATTCCCTCAACATCATCAACCAAACATTCCAAAACTCACATAATCTCTTCCACATCTTTCCAAAAAGATGGAAAATAAAATCCAAGTTATCCTAATCGTCTCATCCCTCCCTCTTGCTCTGTTCTTTCCAGTGACATTCGCGTATGCTCATGTCCCGGCCAAGCCAATGGAGACGACAGTAAACGTGGTGATCGAGGGTATGGTTTATTGCCAAAGTTGCGATAACTACGGATCATGGTCATTATCAGGAGCTAAGCCAATCCCAAAAGCTAAAGTGAGTGTTATTTGCAAAACCTACAAGAAAAGAGTAAACTTTTACAAGCCATTTGAAACAAATGAATATGGTTATTTCTATGCAGAATTACAAGGTTTTGAAATGGGACATTCTTATTTAGACCATCCTTTACATTCATGTCGTGTGAAATTGGTCTCTTCTCCTTTAGAAACATGCAATGTTTTTAGTAATATTAACAATGGACTCAATGGTGCAAAACTCAGATTTGAAGACAAGACAATTGACAGAAGTGATTACAAAGCTGTAATTTATACTGCTGGTCCTTTGGCTTTTCGACCAACTTACTGCCCACCTAAATAACCTTAATTACTTCTAATTTGATTTCCACTACAAAATTTTGTGTTTTGATCTTATTACAAGAATCCAATGTCTTTACAAGAGTTTGTACTTATGATTTTTGTCCTTTGTACCGAACAACCTAAACTGTAAGATATTGTTGTCCTGTGTACCAAACAAACTAAATTGTATGAGATTCTTACTTTTTGTTATAATTTTTTCTTCATAATTAATTACTGAAATATCTCTCCACCGTGCCTTCTTTCCCTTTATCTCTATTCCAGGATGTGCAACTCTATAAATCTCAATAAGTACTTGTTGCACGCATGGGCGAACGTAGTGTTCAACCGACAGGTTCAATTGAACTCATAGTTTTCAACGCGAAGTAAAAGTTTATATAAAAAAATTCATTGCAATTGCAAAACTAGTAAGAAATGAACCCATAACTTTAAAATAATAATGGGTTCAATGCTAAAAGCCTTGAAAATTGAAAGCATAGTATTTAATTTCTGGATCCGCCTCTACTTATTGGAGAGAACTAGAGATGGAAGTATTGGGATAAAATGACAAAAGTAGCCCCTAATGTTTGGGATAGATTCAAAATGGTCCCTTAAATATACTCTGAGCAACTTTGTCGCCGTCCAAATAAAATTGACAGCAGGTATCCGCAAGTTTTCGGGAACATAAATAGTTTGATCTTGAAGTATATTTAAAGGATCAGCTTCCTCATCTCCCTCTTTATTTCGACAGTACAATATTGATTTACTTCATATTCTGGGAATTCACCTTTTGAATTGACGTTGTCGATTTACTTCATCGTGTACTCAAGATTGCTATTGCTACCTAGAGTTTAACTGTTTTCTTAGCTTCGGTCTTTTTTATCTTCTTGTTATTCCTACTTGTTGCCATTACTTTTTTCCTCCATTCTCCGGCCGAGGGTCTATCAGAAACAACCCCTCTGCCCTTCTAAGGTAGGGGTAAGGTTGTGTACGTCTTACCCTCCTCGGACCCTTCTTGTGTGAAATTACTGGGCTTGTTGTTGTTGTTTGTACTCAAGAGAGACACTCATTTTTCTTAATGGGAAATCTACAATTGTTTATGGAGTTCTATCACCTGTTGTTCGTGCTCCTGTTCAATTCTTCAAAGAAGTCTCTGATGTCTGCTAGAATTAATGAATTATCTTGTTAGCACTTTGGAAGTTTCACTAGTGCCTAACGGAATACTAGAAGTGACAATTTAGGAAATTCATGGATTATTATGTGGTAAGTGAAGAGGAAATGAATAATTTTGGAGGGAAGTGGTGACTAGATCTAATCGAACAGCATTTTCAACGTCAAGGTAATTTTTTCTTATTTTCCAAATTCTTATGTCTCGTTTTTCTTAGGAGTCGTTTTTCAGTCGCAAAGTAGGCCATCGTCTTTTCTTTTCTTTTTTATTTTAAATAAATATTTTGTACTTTTTCTGCACAAACTCAAATATCATATAAACGAAAATAAAATCTTAAAACGCACTATCAAAAGTTGTTGGAGCCTCAAAATTTAGGGCCTCAAGCAAATGCTTTACTTGCCTCTCCTTTTAGGCATCCCTTGAAACAGAAAATTTTCAGGTCATTTTCTCCACTCCACAAAACCTTGCATGGTACACGACACAACTATAGTTAAAAATGAGATAAAGACTTGCCCAAACTAGGATGTCTGAAAGACTGAAAGCGTTAGAAGTAAATAAGTACTCATTTACAGCGGCTGGGTGTAACATACCAAAACAAAACATTCAACAAGATTGTATCCAAAAGAATACCTGGAAAAATTACAACACTTGGGAACTGAAGAACCTTAGCTGACCCCAGAAAACCAGTAAAGGTAATATAGCGCATCTTTACACGGTTGTGAAGATCACAAAATATCCTCAATTTGTTGCCTAACTGCAAAAAATGCCTCTTCTAAAAAGAATATTACAAGGAGATATCAACACACTATGACACACAACAGAAACAATTATTTCATCTATCCTCCACTTGTGCACTTCAGCAACTAACTGCAAGGCAATAGATAAAAATCTAAGGGCAAGAGTAAATAAAAGAAACCAAAAACAGTCCAGATTGTATCCTCTTTGTGAAGTTTGTTTACACCCCTGTGGTAACACCCCATCAAATTAATAGGAACCCATGGGTGGCATGCCAAATGGAGGCATGGGAGGCATTCCCATTCCACCCATTGGAGGTGGTTGGGGTGGAGCGAAACCTCCACCCATACCAGCACCTCCCATACCAGGCATCGGCGGTGCAGGCAAAGCCAGAGGCAGCAGCTGTGCATACATATTCTGCACCAAAAGAATGAACAGGATTAGCAAGGTAACTTTGAGACTGTAATAGCAAAAGAGACTGTCAATATAACACAGGCATGCATGTGATGTGGCACTTATCAAAACATTATTAAAATACTGTGCAACTTTGGTCAACTCCAGGCTAAAAGCAAGGAAAATGTGCAATTAGTTGACATCATAGACAAGTCAATAACTACCTGCTGCTTAATAACGTCCTTTTCTTCACTCTCTTTGGATTTTGCTTCCTTTTGAGCCTCAATCTTATCTTTTATCAGCTCATCTACCTTGCCAGTGTATTCACGGATAAACTGTGCCAGAGAGAGAGAGAGAGACCCAAGTTAAAATGCGGATGCAGATAACAACAGACTACTGATAATTAAAAAAACTGAGGCAGACAGCAAAACTATGATGGGGAATAAACAGAGAACGCAGAAGGTACAAATTAGAGAGCTATGAGAAACATGCAAAGTTTCAGGTACTTCCCCTCAAACATAATGACAAGGTAAAAGAGGAAGAACACAGCACAATAACAGAGGTTAATGAAAAAAATTATCATGTTCTAGTTACTGATCAAAAAAATTATTATCTTCAAAAAAATGCAGAGGCAGATCAAGGGTTTAGGACATAGACTTGTCAAAACAGTGAAATAATATTAATATGTTTACCAGAGGAAAGGACACAACAAATGCAGATACAGCTCTCCCTAAAAGTAGATAAGCAAACATGCAAATGCACGACCGAACAAACAGACAGATCTGGGGAAGGTTTCAGAGAGCACCTGTAATAGATATGGGAACGCGAAGTCAATCATATTATTCATCCATGCTAGCTCAAGGGCAACATCTGGGCGAATCAAATCATAACAAACAAATAGGCATGATGCAAAGCATTCTTTCTTTCCCTGCAAAAGCACAAAAAAGCATAAATACGATGAGCATTAACCAATGCACAATTATTACAATCCAAGTTGCCCTACTCCTGGAGTAGCAATATCATTTCCAAGAAAAATACGATACATTCTCCCTTAATTTTCCTAAATGATAATTCATAAATACGAGAACTCTGCTATGTGATCCTCAGAAAGCATAAATACATAGAGGAGGGTTGCAGTAAGTCTACAGCAAATGTGAATAAAGTCTAGTTGGATCCATATAGCCGATCCCAACTAGTTTGGTATTAAGCATAATTGATTGAGTGATTACAAGCTAGACTCATTAACCAACCACGTTACCTATATATTAGCAATAAAATTTCCAAATAACAAATGATCAAGAACTCCATGGGTACCAGATATTTATCCCACAATCACATCAAACCTTATGCGAGAATTCATGGTTTATAAACAGTTACTACAAACTGATGTGTTATTACATGCCAGAATCATCTGGCACCAATGCAAGATTTTTTTTGTTTCATTCTCTGTGGATTCTTTTCATCTCTTCCCTCATGTTTCTCAAATAGTCGCGAAAGCTTAGCCAGTGTTGACACACTTATATTAGTTCTTGAAATTGCCAAAAGTCTTTTTAGTTTTTTAAAGATAATATATATGTATATGTATATATATACACACACACACACACATATGTATATATGCAATTTTGAGAATATGTATGAGATGGAGAGAACCAGTAGAGTCAGATAACCTCTACTTTTTATCAGAAGACATTCTTGATTATCAAAATCGGGTCCAAATAGAGCTAAACAGATACCAAGGATTCATGTGACTGAGTCCAACTATTTTGGGATTGAGGAGTAGTTGGTAGTGGTTGGGGGCAGAGGTGGAGGATATGCATGGGTGAATCTTGAAATCCTAACTGGTACCTGTTCAATGAAGTAAGCAAGCAACTCCTCAGCAAGTTCACGATCCCCAGATTGCGAGGCTGTTTCCATTGCGTCTTTGTAAAGATTATCTTTCTTCGACAGAGCAATGGATTGCTTCCAGCGACCAGCCTTTTTATATATAGAAGCAGCGACACGCCTCATCTCAAGAAGTTCATGTTTCTCTATCTGCTCAAGTGGAACACAAAAATGGAACTATTATCAGGCATATGCTAATTACGGAGAAAGACAATTTAGTACAACCAGCCATCACCTTCTGTGCAAGCCCAATCTGATCAAAGTTATCATGCAATTCAATTGATTCACGTAGTCTGTCGTAATCTTCTTCCTCAACATATATCTCGTTAAGGGCCTCATTCACAGCAGAAACATTGTTGCTTTGTACGGCAATCATATACGGCTTCACTAGGCGAAGGTGACCCGCCTGGTATCAATCACACGAAAAAGAAAAGAAAGGGTTAATAAGAATCTATACTAAAGAGTGTAATCCAAACAATCCTAGTAAGTAAAGGGTTTCAATGATAAGTCAGACCTTTCTCATTATATCCACTACACGTGTATGGTCCACCCTAAGTGCTAGAACATTTAAAAGATCATTGATGAGATCGGGATGCTCTTGTAAATAGAAGTGGACGGCCTTGTAATAAAGCTCCACATTAGCAACTTTCACAACAATATCTTTGAACTGCATATGATCCCAAGCATCTGGGGAATGATTCATAACAGTTGTGGCAGCGTTATCAAATTCATCATATTGCATATACAAATATGTGAGTTCCTTCCAGTGTTGCTGCTCATCACAGGCACGAATAAGCTTAGGAATGTTAAGACGGGTGGAGAATAATTTAATGTGTTCCATGAGCTTCTCATGACGGTATCTGGCGTAAAGGACACCAAGTTCTGTGAAGATACCCATATGGGCACGCTCCAAACCGAGCCCACTCTCCATAAGAGAGATTAATTCATTGAAACATCCTCTGTTTTGGTAGTATTCACTCACTTCCTCCAAATCATCTACCTGCAAAATCAAAAAAACAGACACCGCCTATCACCGGTAATCCAGAAGATCTCCTTCACAATTTAAATGAGCAAGTTCAACAGAAATACTGACAAGCACAATAAAAGAGAAATGAAAAAGGTACCTGAACTATAATGTTAAGCCCACAAATTTGAGCTAAGCGGAACTCCTCAGCATC